CCCTCTCTCTCTCTCTCTCTCTCTCTCTCTCTCTGTCTCTCTCTCTGTTTTTCACCTCTCTCCCCCACCTGCCCTTGGCTTTCTCTCTCTCTCCGTTCTCCTCACCTTCTTGGTTGAGGTCCAGCTTACATATTGCGATGGCTGCCCTTCTGTACTCTTCGGTGCTGAGCAGGCAGCTGTTGTCTTCTTCATTACAACCAAGTCGTATGGGTATGAGAAAGCCGATATGGAGGAGCTGTCCATGGTTGCCTTTTCAGGATGCATCTGGCTGCAGGCGTTTGTTGTTGCCCTGGAAACGAAGTAAGTTCTTTTTGTACAGCCCAAGACGTTTTTCGCCCCCTTTTCTGCATGCCCACTGGGAAATGATCAGCAATATAGATTAAAAAAAGAGATCAACAAACGGTCAGCAAAGATCAAGAACAGGTCGATGGAAGGTTGACAAAAGGTCAACAAAAGATCGGCAAAAAGTCGACAAAAGATGAGCAAAATCCGGCAAACGATTGCCAAAAGATCAACAATAGATTGACTAAAGCGCTGTAAATGATCAACAAAAGGTCAACAAAAGGTCAACAAGAGGTCAACAAGAGGTCAACAAAAGATGAGCAAAAGATTGACAGAAGATCGGCAAAAGATCAACAATAGATCGACTAAAGCGCTGCAAATGATCAACAAAAGGTCAGCAAAAGGTCAGCAAAAGGTCAACAAAAGATGAGCAAAAGATTGACAAAAGATTGGCAAAATATTAACAATAGATCGACTAAAGCACTGCAAAGTATCAACAAAAGGTCAACAAAAGGTTAACAGAAAAGCACAGAAGTTGTTCATGCTAGCAGCAGTGGTTGATTAGAGTGAAACCGCCAGTACCTCCGAGCCTGTTTTCCCCACCCTGGATTTCACTGCGCACCGAAATCTGTCGAGCCTGGGTGCCATTATGTTTTCTTTTCTGGTACTCTTCGGAAAAGAAAGAAACAAAAAAAAGAACAAGGAAAAAAAAGAAAAAAAGGGAACAGCCCTAGGGATGTGAAAGCAGCTGCATGCAGAATCTGGGGCACATGTGAGTCTATGCCCTCCCAATGGGCAGTTACACCCCAGCTCTATTCATGAGAGGAGCCAAACAAAAAAGGACGACGAAAAATAAAATAAAACGATGTACTCTTTGGACGTGAAAGCAGCTGCATACAGAATCTGGACATATGACAATATGCCCTCCCGACAGCCCTTGCTTCATGAGCTGTACTCACGGCAGCAGCAAAAACAAGAAGATACTCTTCCGACATGAAAGCAGCTGGATACAGAATATAGAGTACAAGTGAGATTGTGCCCTAAGCTGCAGCGTTGTCATCAGGTATCCGCGTAATGCGTTCTGTGCCTCGTTGGCAGGGCACCAACAGAGGATGAAAAGAAAAAGGAAAAACAAAGACAACCAATAATGAAAGTACCTAAGTTCCTGGGTAGATGTGCTCCTTGGAGTACCAGTGTGAGCAGACTTCCTTCATGGCCTTCCCCGAGTTCCTCCCTTTCGACTCTGCTGCGTCTTTACTTAAGTCCCAAAACTTAAGGCTTGCTGACCCTCCGCGGGGCTCCGAAAAATTTGGAATGCTGGGAAAACTGCCACTTTTCCTGAATTTATTTTGCCTAGCGGAGGTACTAGTGGTTTAATGCACCCCTGACTATCGCATTGTCCCTTGTGGTCCAGTGGCATACTCGGCTTCATGACCATAACTGTAATCAACAAACTTTTTCACATTGTCCCTTGTGGTCGCAAATGGGTCAGGACTCAGGTTCTTCTTTCCAAGCATGACCATGGCACCAGCGGAGAGCCTGGCGCTGGGACACCTGGAGAACCGCCGGCCATATACTCACGCTCATGCTTTAATTATTGTACTTATGAATTGAGGGGCGGAAAAAATAAAAAATATATTGGAAGGCAGCAAAGGTGTCACTGGACCGTCGGGACTCTACCCTGTCCAGGCTTCCGGACCTGGACCGTCGGCCATAACAGAGTAGCTGATGCTCTTTCTCTCAGACCTGACACCTTTGCTGCTATTGTTCATACTTACTCATTTGGAGACTCTAGACACCAGGCTATTGCTGATGCGTTGCCTCAGGACCCTGTCTTTGGCCTTATTATTAGGAATCTGCAGGTGGATCCCAATTCTGAGCCAGGTTATGCCTTGGCTTCAGATCTTCTATACACCATCAGCGAAGGAGAAGCGCTTGTGCATTCCTAATGATCGCGAGATCATAATTCATCTGATTTCAGAGAGTTGATGCAGGAGGTCACTTTGGGTTCCTAAAGACTTATGCTCCCCTGACCCAGCGCTTTATTGGTCAAGAATGAGGGAGGATATTCTCAAGTACTTAGAGACTTGCGAGTTATGCCAAAGAAACAAGGTCCACAAACGACCTCCTATGGGGCTACTCAAACCATTGCCTATTCCAGATGGCCCAGGTGAGTCAGTGTCCATTGACTTTACTGATTTGGGCAAGACCACCCATCGTGGCATGAGGCAGGTAATGGTATTTGTTGATCGTTTCTCTAAGTTTGCTGAGTTTATTCCCTTACCTGCTGAGGCCAGAGTTCCTCTGGTGAGAGAGCTGTTTGCTGAGAGGTGGGTTAATGTCCATGGGTGTCCAACCTCTATCGTCAGTGATAGAGACCCTAGGTTTTCCAGCTGTTTGCTGAGAGGTGGGTTAATGTCCATGGGTGTCCAACCTCTAGGATGAAAGACTTATCTCCATTTCAGGCTAGACATGACCTCTGGCAGACATCCTGAAGCCAATGGACAGGCTGAAGTGATGAACCAAGTCTTGTTTCAGCTGCTGCGTCCTGTGGGCACTCCTGATCAACAGGACTGGGATAAGCATCCGTCAAGGGCTCAACTTATGCATAATATTTCCGTTCACAGCACTACAGGCTTTACACCCTATAGGCTTCATCTTGCCAGGGACCCAAGACAACCTCTTGACGATCTCATTGACAAGACTAAGCCTAAACTAACTCCTGGGACTGCAGAGTTCACCAAGAGTCATGAGACGGACCTAGAGAAAGCCAGAACAAACATGTTCAAGGCTCAGAAAAGGATGATAGAACAGGCTAATAAGCATCGTTTTCCCTCTCCTATTCAGCCTGGTCACTGGGTCTGGGTGAAAAGATCAGACTTAACTGATGAACATGATATATCACGAAAGTTGTTGCCTGTGTACTATGGCCCATCGCAGGTACTTGATACTGTGGGAGCAGACCCATTTGGGCCTTCCTATGCACTTGCTGTACCCCAACATATCAGGACCTATCCAGTCTTGTTTGCCTCAAAACTGCTGCCTTTCACTCCTGCTGACGTGTTTCCTGATTGGCCACCGCAGTTTGGACCTCCTATCCCTGGAAAGGGATATGAAGTTGAGAGCATTGAGGACCGATGGCGCACTGGCCCCAACTGTGGATATCTTGTCAAGTTCCTTTTCCAACCTCATACTGAGGACCGTTGGTTCACAAGAAAGGAACTTCTCAAGTCTGCAAATTGAGTCGTGTGTTTCTACGACGCTGAGCAAAGTGGGAAATTGCCCAGGCGGTCTCCTCGTGGACACTCCTAGCTCGGGGTCCTCGTTCCCCGGGAGGGTAGGAATGCAATGAATTGCAGTGCTACAAGCGGGCTGTATACTAATTGTGTCCCCGTCGTCATTGTCGGGACTTGATCCCGTAACCTTTGACTGTTTTGTTGCCTGTTTGTTTGCTGTTTGTTTGTTTTGAGCCTTGCGGGACTAGATCCCATGACCTGTAACCTGTGTGTTTTGGTTGTGTGTGTTGAGCCCTGTGGGACTTGATCCCTGAGTCTGTCACTAGTAGTCTCTGGTTGGTAGTCCTAGGCCATCCGGCCTTGTCCTTTTGCCTTGTCATAGGTCTAGGTCCCCTTTTCCCCTGTTTCCATCTAGATACAGATGAGTCTTGGCTTGTTGCCTCTGGAGTCCGTCCTAGGTCTAGGCAGAGGGTAGAAGTAGCGGGCAGGAAAAAGGGTTCGGGTCTTTTCATGTGGTTTCGGCTGGGGAAACCCTGCCCGTTCGTTGACAAAGCGTTGCTGCGTTATTCGGGGGTAGGGCATCTTCTTCCTCGAAGCCCAGCCATAGCTGGGGCTGGGACATGAAGTTGGAGATAGCACTGCTGCCATTCGGCAGCTCTGCATGAGAGCTTTCACAGGACTGTGTTGTTGGGTTTGGGCGCTGCCTTTCTACACTTGGCAGCCATATTTGCTGTTCCTCCTCATGAGGAACTTCCTTTTTTTTTTCTTCGAAGTGCTGGATCGGTTGTCGCCTTCTTCATCAGGACTTCCAGCGCTGCACTTCAGTGCAGGCGCTGAGCTGGCGCTGCTATCATTGGGGCTGCTGGTTCAGATTGGCACGTTGTGACA